TTTTTTTTCTCTTCGATGATTATAGTTTCTATTCTCCAGCGAGAAGCTGCAGTAGTACACTGGCTTGCTTTTCCCAGTGACTGGTTTCTACTCCCCATCTAGTTAGCTGCTTATCCTTTACAGGACCTTGAAGAACCACCCCAGGATTTTTTGGCTGTTGTGGTTTTTCTAGGCAAAATTACGTCCAGTAGTTTGCCATTGAATACTGGACGGTCGGCTTCTCGATACCACTGTCGTAACCAACCCAGGGCGCATGGCCCGCAGCTGGGATCGAACGGGCACTACAAAGTGCGTTCGAAACGTTTAAGCCACAGACGCCGAAAACTCCACATCTAGAAGGATTTAAAAATAACCGAAGGAGTAGCAGGAATTTTTTTTAAGAAGTAAAGGAGATCAGCATGCCATTGAATATATCACTGCTGGACAGTTTAGTCTTTAAGAAATGTAGTGGAAAGCACCACTGACTTCATTCTAGTGGTCTGGCCAGCTAAATATCCTACCAATTATGCCATGTCGTGGAAACACAGTATTTCCCATATTATTTATGTTTTTCAAAATGAATTGTTTTAACAATAGAAAACGCAGGTTTCCTAAAAGCTGTGAATTTTTCAGTAAAACAAAAAAAGTTGTTGACAGAATTAACTCCATGTCACGCTGATCCGACCATTGCTGCCGGGTTTTCGATAGCAAAGTCCAGGATGATCGCAGTTAGCGTTATTTAGTGGGGGGGGGGGGGGGGGGGGGGGGGGTTAAAAGTGTCAAATAAAATAACACCAATACGATAATAATAATGCAATAATTTTCCTCACAGCTAGTTATTAGGCTATATGAACAGCATTTGAAAAGGGTAATATGTTCCAGCATTTTCATTTAGCGCGGTGTTCGTATTTAAGGTCAAATGCAACAAAGTATAACATCATCAACCTTATCGGTAATATCATTGTCATGAGTCAACTTTACCACACACTGTGAGATAAAGACAAACAACGACTAGACTGACTCATAACAGCAGACAGGTCATTTACTGGTCAGACGGGTTGTGTGTAGACCCGCACGGCGAAAAAGGTAACTGAGTGGGGAGGTTACAGGGGGACTGGACAAACAGGTAGAGTGACACACGGCAGTTAGTAGTTGGACAGTCCAGTGAACGGATGTGTTTGTTTGGGGCCCTTTTAAAAGGAGGGAATTGTTTTTCGCTTGGAATGGACTGGATTTAAAACTGTGAACAGAACAGTAGTGGTTATTCATACTGGTGACAAGTGTTTCTGTTGTATAGCCGGATTATAAAGTTAAGTGTAGTAGTTAGGAGGATACGGAATTATTGCTATAGAGGCATCAGCTAGCCTCTGATGACTTTGTTCATATTGCGAGGATGAGTTTGTGATCAGTTATACCAGCGTACTGTTGATGTATTTAGCCAGTGACTACCTGAGATTAGTGTGCTTATGAACCATAAGAATAAAATCTGTAGCTACTCAGTAGTCAATAACGTTGTGTGGAAGCCATACTAACTTTGCAATTATCATGAGTTCTTAAATAAACATACTAACTTTGCAATTATCAAGAGTTTCTTAAATAAACATTATTTAAGAACTGGAACAAGGTCATCAGCGTTTACATGTTCATGGAAGTGTGGGTACACCTGGCACAAATAACAATTGTACTTGTGTCATACCTATAAAAGGTGACTGACAACTTGGGAGCTCGTCGATTGAACCCCGGCATACCTGACGCATTTCCCAGGGATACACGAAATGACGTCACTAGAAGAATTCATTACCTTAGGGCAGAAGATGGGATTGGCAGACAAAGAGCTACAGAGATGGTCAGAGGATCAGTTTCGCGAATGGAAGAGTGAACAGAGGGAAGAGCGTCTGCAGACCAGAGAAGGAGTTAAAAATGGTGGAACTAGCTGCTGAAAAGGAAATAAAATTAGCCCAAATAGCGTTTGAGAGGGAAAAACTACTGGCTGAAGTATCATTAAGAGAAAAAGAAGTGGCCATGCAGGTTAGAGTAAATGAAATGGACCTAGAAAAGGAGACGGAAAGTAGTTTACGACAGGCACAGATAAAGGCCTATGAAAACAAGATCAAACGATATCAGGGCATTGTTCAAAACTTCACTAAGGGTGATTCGGTCTCCGCGTGAATCTCTAACTTTGAGATTATGATGAAACACTACTCTGTTCCTAAGGATGAATGGCACATAATCTTTCACAGACATCTAGCATTGGAACCCCTTAAATTGTGGAAACGATACCGGAAGAACTCCCTATGGACTATGAGTATGTGAGAGATCGAGTACTAGCCCATTTTAGTCTTGATGAGGAAGGGTACAGAATACTTTTCAAAACTCTGGCACCAAAAAGCAACCAGACGTTTGTGGACTATGTCGCAGAGGTGCAGAGTACTCTAGATAGATGGCTGAAAGCGGCAAAAGTCCAAAACTCTTTCTACTTATTGAAGGATTTGCTAGTGCGTGATAAACTCTTAGTCTTAATTCCTGCTAGTATGTCGACGTTCTTACAAGAGAATATATGCACATCAGTAGGTGACATGGAGAAAAAAGGAGAAGCATTCTTTTACGCCCATAAGGAGGTCTTTGCGACCTGCTCTCAACCCGATCTAGCTTTTGGGGCAGCTGCGACATATTCTCAAGAGAGAAGTCCCTACAGCTCTAAAAACGATAGCACATATCAGAGAAAACCACGACACCCAGTAGCAAAACGAGGAACTCTAATAACATGTTCACACTGCAATCACAAGCATGGTAGCTTAGATATGTGTGATAAAAACCCAAATTACATGAAGTATCTACGAGATTTTGTCCAAAAACAACAATCTAAGGTAACAAGGTATGCCAAAAACCTACAGAGTGCTTTAAATGTGGGGCATTTGGCCATATACGCAGGGACTGCCATGCAAGAAGTATAATAAGAGAGGCTAATATGGTCCTGAATTCATCAAGCAGTGAATTGGAAGAAGACTTAATAGCCAACTCAGTCCAAGAGATTGCCGAACTGGGGATCGAAAACTGCAAGATATGCAAAGAATTCCATGAAGATGGGAATCTAACTTGCGGACACAGTGTGCCGATTCAAGAAGCACACTCGGCTAACATGACCAGTGGATCCTTGCGCTACTTCAGGGGATTCGCTAACAGTATACCTTGCACAGTAATCCGAGATACAGGCGCGACACTAATTGGTGTACACAGAGCATTAGTGCAAGAGAAAGACTACACAGGAGAGCACATTGTGTGCAGAACTTTTGGTGGTAATAAGGAAAGATATAAGGTAGCTCTTGTAAAAATAAATTGCCCCTTTTACACTGGCATAACAAAGGCAGCAGTACTGCCCGCACCATGTGCCGGAATACTCATTGGTAATGTACCAAATGTAAATACTGATGATGAGTTAGCAATCAAAAACTGGGAGGAACAGTTTCCTAACGTAAATGTTGTCACAAGACAGCAAACGCAAAAACAAGAAGATAAAGCACAGACAGATCTGATTCAATCCATCAACATCCCTAACATGGAAACCCCAGCAGGTGGTCAACCCTCATTTTCAGAACTCCAGAGGATGGACCCCACATTAAAGAAATGTTTCAACCTCGTAAATGAAAAGCCTAGAATTTCAAAGTCTGGTAGATGGTGGTTTACACTGAAAAAGGATATCTTGGCAAGGGTGTATAAAAAAAGGAACGATGACAGTATCACAAACGGTGCTGCCGGAACAGTTTCGCAAAAAAAAGTACTAGAAATGGCACATAATGCACCGTTTTCTGGTCATATGGGAACGGCTAAAACAAAATCAAGAATCCTGGGGCAGTTCTACTGGCCAGGGTACAGCAAGGACACAAAAACATGTGTTCGTACCTGTGAGATTTGTCAAAAACAGTCACAGAAAGGGAAAAACCCAAAGGCTCATATCCAGGTGACTGACTTAGCATCTAGACCATTTAAAAAAAATTGCAGTGGACATAATCGGACCATTAAATGTTACCTCAAACAAGGGAAACAGATATATCCTTACAGTAATGGATCTGTGTACCAGATGGCCTGAAGCGATTCCGCTTCGAAATATTACAGCTGAGGCTATTGTAGAAGCCTTCATACACATTTTCTCAAGAATCGGCTTCCCTAGAACAATTCTATCCGACAGAGGAACACAATTTATCTCTGCTGCCACACAAGCATTCACTAAAATGATGGGTATTAAACAGCAATTTGCGAGTGCATACCACCCACAGACAAATGGTATTGTAGAAAACTTAAATGGTACATTGAAACGAATGGCAAAAATTTCAGCTTAACGCCCCGCAGACTGGGACATTTTTCTACCAGCCATCCTCTTCGCCTATAGAGAGGTGCCGCAGAGTAGTACAGGACATTCCCCATTTGAGTTGGTCTATGGAGCCAACCCACGTGGACCATTGCAAATGTATAAAGAACTAATTACGGGGAAAGTTGAAAACCAGCCAACCATAGATGCCTATAATATGGTCATTAGTTTACGGGAAGGATTATAAAGTCCTGCATGGCTGCAAAACAAGCCGTTGAAACCTCGGGTACTGTGTACAGACAATATGCAAATAGAAAGGCTAAGACAGTTGCCTTAAAAGAAGAAGAAGAAGTGCTTTTACTATTACCACTTCCATCTGACAAACTGTCAGTATCATGGCAAGGTCCATACAAGGTAACCAAAAAGATTTCGGATGTGGATTACGAGATACTGGTGAAAGGCAAGCCAAAAATCTTCCACATTAACTTGCTAAAGCCATTTAAGATTCGAGATGAGCTACAACCCCCCAGGCATATAAACGAGCATGTTGCGTCTCTAGCCTTAACCATCAATGAGCAACAGGAAGACACTATAACTGACCAAATTCCTACACCTTCAACAACAGTCGAATCGTCGTGGAAAGATATTAAAGTCAACAGCGAAATTCCTCATGAGGATAGAGCACTACTAATGAATATCCTTTAACAGTTCCAAGACATCTTTTCAGATACGCCAGGCAGCACATCGGTAATCAAACATCACATAAGACTCACAACAGAAATACCAGTTAAGACAAAACCATATCCCATCCCGCTGCACTATCAAAAACAAGTAGAGGCTGAAATATCTGAATTGGAAAAATGTGGTATTATTAGGAGGTCATCTTCCAACTATTCATCACCGCTGGTAATCGTCAAAAAGAAAGACAGTACACTCCGAATCTGCGTGGATTATCGTAAAAAAAACACCATTACCCATTTGGATGCTGAACCAATCCCAAATGCAGATGAACTTATTGCAACCATGTGCCAATCACAATTCTTTTCAAAATTGGACCTCACTAAGGGTTACTGGCAAATTCCAGTTACCGAAGAATCAAGGCATATTACTGCATATGCCACACCGACGGGATTGTTCGAATGGTGCAAAATGCCTTTTGGATTACAAAATTCGCCTGCAACATTTGTTCGCATGATGCGCATTGTATTTAAGTATATTAAGAATGTTGCCACAAATATGGACGATATTTGTATTCACAATGCAAATATGCAGGACCACATTTCTTCCTTAACCCAGGTATTTAAGAGATTAAGAGAATTCGGCTTGAAAGTAAAACCTAGTAAAGTAGAAATCGGGTTCACAAAAATTGATTTCCTGGGTCACAAGATCGACAATGGATTCTTACAAACAGATGACAAAATTATTTCAAAAATATTGGATATTAAAGCCCCAAAAACAAAAAAGCAAGTTCGATCAATGCTGGGACTGATAAACTATTACAATAAATTTCTACCTGACTGTGCTTGCATGACAGCAGCATTATCTTCACTCGTTAAGAAGGGATTGCCTACAAAGATAGCATGGACCCCGCAGCTGGAACAAATTCTGACCAATATCAAAACAACTTTCTCGAAGTCACCAATCTTAAAGTTACCTGACCTCGAAAAACCCTTCATCTTACAGTGCAATGCAAGTGGGTATTCCATATCATGTATTTTATTACAGGAACATGAGAACATTCTCCTCCCAGTACTTTATTCCAGTCGGAAGCTGTCAGAAGCAGAGAAACGTTACACCACAGTAGAACTTGAAGCACTTTCTCTTGTGGTGGGGGTTACGAAATTTGCAAAATATTTGCTTGGCAGGAAGTTTATAGTACAGACAGACAACAAACCACTGACAGTCTTTAAAGAAGGAACACCGAAGAATCATCGTATTTACAGATGGAGTCTACTTTTGCAGAACTACAGCTTTGAATTAGTCCACATCAGTGGCATAAATAATGCCCTGGCTGACATCCTGTCACGTCTTTAAACAGATGCTAGACATAAAAAAAAAAGAAAAAAGAAATACAACTTTTTTTAATTTAAAAAAAAAAAAAAAAAAAAAAAAAAAGAAGGATGAATGGTTGTCTGTTGAATACATAAAATAGGAATGAAAGGCTTTTGATAATACTTACAGTACTTAATTCATGAATATTCTTTTGTCTACAAACCCCTCTGTTGCAGGAATTACACACCCCCCCCCCCACCTTTTGTATTTTCCCCAATTCTAACTCCTTAGCCTCAGATGTCCTAGCTATACTAGCTATTCACGCCCCATTTACTGACTTGTGTCATTAGCAAACATTAGAAAATACTCGGTTCATATGCATCACATCTTATGTCACCGCTGATTAGGAGAGAGGTATTATCAATTATCATATGATCATGATGGGGCTGTAACGGCCTAAGAGTAAAGACATACTTAGTACATACGGCAAACCAAAAGTAGGCAGGGTAACTAGCCTGGATAAAGGGGCAAAAGACAGGGGCCATCAAGGAAACAACATTCAACCAGATGATGTTATGCGGTACAAGGAATAGCATGGGTTAGCATCAGAAATGTGTTAGAACCTTCATCAATCCAGGATTTATACTAGTATAGATAGAAAATGGTAATGACATGATACATGCAAGTGACCAGACAGTCTATCTAGAGATTTACACACGGGTAGCACCAAAAAAAAAAAAAAACATAACACAGGGTGCAATAACGAACCATGAACAGAAATGATACATAGTATAATTTTGAAAAGCGGGGGTGAAACTGTCATGAGTCAACTTTACCGCACACTGTGAGATAAAGACAAACAACGACTAGACTGACTCATAACAGCAGACAGGTCAATTACTGGTCAGACGGGTTGTGTGTAGACCCGCACGGTGAAACAGGTAACTGAGTGGGGAGGTTACAGGGGGACTGGACAAACAGGTAGAGTGACACACGGCAGTTAGTAGTTGGACAGTCCAGTGAACGGATGTGTTTGTTTGGCCCTCCATCAACCACATGGCCAGTCTGTCAGCTCTCTCATTTCCTTTTACCCTGGCCAGTCCCAGTGTGTACAGTCAAGACAGTTTTTCGTGGCGAGACTTCAACAAGGACACAAAGGTTCACCTTCGTTCACCAGAGGATCAATAGCATGCTTCATTCTGCATGTTCCAGCTGATGTCTGC